TACATGTATCTCTGTTCGTTGAGTGATGTTTCTCATTCATGTTGTTAAGTTACATGTATCTATATACTGTAACTTCTTAAAATGTTTGTACCATGGAATCAATGTTTAGTATAAAAGTATACGTAAAAGAGAGGAAATCGGATCTGCCAATGAATATGTAAATGCGATGTGCAGATTTGAAAGCGCGATTTGCCAACGAATGGCATATTTTAATTCGAATAGGGCGAATTATTATACGGGCAAGTTACCTAAGGTGTGAACTCTCTAGCATTCGCGCGCATGCGTAGCCTGTCGTTTACCCAGGGCATCCGCTTTAACTTCGCTTATATATTTACTGCGTGGACCGCAGGGTCCACGCAAAAAGATATGTATTGGAAAGAAAGTGATGACCCAATTGAAATTCGGTATGAAAAATAATCCAGTAATCTTGTATTCAAAATGTACAAACAGTGCATATTCAGATAAAATCAACACTTGTGAAATAAAACAAAGGGCTAATTGCAGGTATACTGCAGGTTACTGTGTAGTTTGAAGTCTCTTTCAGCTTTGATTTCATGTACATGTATTTAAAATCTTTATATGAGATTGTACAAACTTAGCACTGCACATCAACACCAATACAGAGTAAGAGCGGAAATCTTAAAAAATTATACATTTTATCGTTATTCAGTAAAACAAAAAATAAAATTTAAACAATTTTAAATATCAAGCAGATTCAATATTGGCCCAATATGCAGATTTCTCTTTTTCGCTACGAATATTATGAAACAAAAGTATAAAAGTTGTATGCTTCTAAACATTCTACATCAGTTGTGCCCACCTCCTATAATGTACCCCAAGCCATCTCAAAAGAGTACTGAAAATGCTTCCAAAAGGCTTAAAGCCTGATTGTATTTCAGTATCTTTGATTTGATTTTCTATAGAATTTTCAAGAGTTCTAGAGTACTTTATTGATTATGGAAAGCTGTAAAAGAGTGATCAGATTGAAATCATTGAATGATGTCCGATTTCACACCTTTGAGCCTGAAGGAATATTCTCACACCTTTTTTCAGAACTTCAGTGTAAACGATGATATACACATATATTCAACAATTCATCTCCACACCGACTGATCATTACATAAGCCATTTCCTGTTTATTATCAATTTGTGTATATACTTTGTTTTGGAGTAACTTCTCTATAAAATAAATATTAAAACATTTTCCAAGAAAAATAACCAACATTTTAAAATGTTGATTAATGTACATACAAAAATATGTTTTTTTTTTTTTTGTTTTTTTTTTATTATTCTGCAAAACAATGTAGAAATTCTGATAAAGTAAAAAGACTTCAATTTTCATAGCGAACATATGCCATGTTAATAAAAGTCACCTAATCATAATCATGGTGTGTTCTCTTGAATGACCATATGAACTTTTTTATTTCTCTATAGATCTTCAATCTGATTTCGGTTTTGAGTTAAGCATAAAAAGTACAATTTAAAAATTGTGGTCCGTGGGGTCACTTTTTGACCCCTTAAAGGACTTTTAGAGACTTCAAATTTTGTATTTTCAAGTATTTTAAAAAATAATCGTGCAAGAATTATCTCCCTTTGTCAACCTTTTTAGAGTCTAATATGCTCTCTATGTTTTAATTTTGGTGTGGATATGTTTAGTACTTCCGGTTTTATAAGTATCTTAAAACTGCCTATGGAGATTTCTATGTTAAATTTGAAATCAGACGATGTCCATTTTTTTCAAAGGGAAGCAATCAAGTCTTATAATATTTCACATGAAAAACTACTTTAGCATTGCCCTTTGGTGCTTAGGTTATGAAAATAAATTTAAAAAAAAAAAAAAAGGAATTTTAGGGGTCAGTACAGAAATTAGTATTTTGTTTATTACTTTTTTATTTGTCAATAGATCATCAAACTAATTTCGGTTTTGATTAAAGCATAAAAATTACAATTTAGAAATTGTGGTCCGTTGTGTCACTTTTTGAACCTTAAAGGACTTTTGAAGACTTGAAATTTTGTATTTTCAAGTATTTTCAAAAATAATCGTGCAAGAGTTATCTCCCTTTGTCAACCTTTTTAGAGTCTAATATGCTCTCTATGTTTTAATTTTGGTGTGGATATGTTGAGTACTTCCGGTTTTATAAGTATCTTAAAATTGCCTATGGAGATTTCTATGTTAAATTTGAAATCAGACGATGTCCATTTTTTTCAAAGGGAAGCAATCAAGTCTTATAATATTTCACATGAAAAACTACTTTAGCATTGCCCTTTGGTGCTTAGGTTATGAAAATAAAATTTCTTCAAAAAAGGAATTTTATGGGTCAGTACAGAAAGTAGTATTTTGTTTATTACTTTTTCATTTGTCCATAGATCATCAAACTGATTTCGGTTTTGATTTAAGCATAAAAATCACAACTTAAAAATTGTGGTCCGTGGGGTCACTTTTTGACCCCTTAAAGGACTTTTGAAGACTTGAAATTTTGTATTTTCAAGTATTTTCAAAAATAATCGTGCAAGAGTTATCTCCCTTTGTCAACCTTTTTAGAGTCTAATATGCTCTCTATGTTTCAATTTTTGTATGCATATGAGGTGTACCTTAAAATTGCTTATGGAGATTTCTATGTTAAATTTGAAATCATGATTGTTCCATTATCTCAAAAGGTAGGCAAGCAATTCTTGTGAAATTTCATATGAATATTGACTCTAGCATTTTATCCAAATGCTAAGGTCATCAAAAAAATAAAATCACTAAAACAGAAAGGATTTTAGGGGTCAGTACAGAAAACGGCTTTTTCTCTGTAACATTTTTAATACTCAACCAATCTTCAAACTAATTTTGGCATTACATCAAGTATAAAGAGTACACTTTAACAATTATGGGCCGTGGGGTCACTTTTTGGCCCCTTATAGGAGATTTAGTGGACTGAAAAACAGTTCAATTTCGAATCTGTTTAATAACCACAAAAGAGTTATGTCTCTTTGAGTAGACACTGATGTACAAAGAGAAGTGTTAAAAGAACTTTTGCCATATTGTATTTAAGATTTTTTTTATTGTAAAATATGAATTTTTTTTTTTTAATATTATTGATTTTAAGGGGTCGAAAAGCCCTCCGTTTTTGTTGAACGACAAAAATAAGGTCTAGTTATTATTATTTTTCTTCTTCCTGGGAAAATTTTGTCCACGGGTGATCTTGTAAACGACACATCCGACTTAGGTGAAACCTTTTTAGGGTCAGTAGGCATGTTATGTAGAGTTGCCAAACGAAGGTCATTTTGCGCGCACGTGCTTGCAAGAGCGCGCACGTGCAACACGTGAAATGACCAATATTATGGATATTGCCGTAACTTTTCTATTTTTTGATGAAATTTATTGAAACTCATAATGTAAGGATACATTAGTAGTATAGACAAGATAGCATGGTCAAAATAGCAAGATCTCACGCGCATGCACGTGCGCTTCGCTCTGATTGGCTGAAACTAAAGTCTTAATCTTTCTTGTTTCTTCTTTCTTGTTTCTTGTCATAATCCTTTGAAATTTTGAACATAGTCCTACATTATGAAGATCTACAGCGTGATATATAAGAATTTTCATGAAAGCATGCGCATGCCCACGTGCTGCAATCTGATTGGCTGAAAATTTAAATGGCTATATCTCCTTTCTTTTTTGACGAAATTCTTTGAAATTTGAAACATAGTCATGCATCAGGATATCCTACAATATGATATAGAAAAATTCACGAAATCACGCGCATGCACGTGTGCTGCAATCTGATTGGCTGAAACTTGAAATGGCTATAACTCCCTTGTTTTTCAACCAAACAAGATGGGATTTAGAACATAGATAGATTTAAGGGACTCCTACAAGAAGGTATGGTCATCATGCACGTATAATTAACAATATACGCACTTTTGCGTGCATTTGGAACCAGTATAATTAACAATATACTTGAATGAGTGATTTTGTTTACTTTTAAACTGAGAGTTTGCTTTAATATACAGTGTATTAAAATATGGGGAACATCTACAAGTTCCTTACAATTAGCAAGATGATATGGTCATAACGTCTTCAAAAATTCACATGCGTTTGGGTGCAATGCTCAAATTTTTTATAATTGGTATCCTTCTGGGAAAATGTTTGAAAAGTCAAATGGAAATCATCAAACCTGAATATATTTTGTTATTATGACGCTTCAGGGAATTGGCACCGAAGTGATTTTGGGCACTTTGTCCAGCATTTTCTAAAATTCCCGTTACAGATTAGCACTAGCATTAAGGTCTTCCGTGTGCTGATGCGAACACACCTTCTTGTTATTCTTAGGTTTCTTTTCCACTAGGAAAGAGATTTTTCACACATTTTTTTTTTTTACACGTTAATATTTTGTAAAGACACGCGAAAATTAGGGACATCGGAAACGGCTACCATTGATTTTATGAAACTTTCAGGACTGATGGAACATCAATCAAACCTGATATATAATTTTTTATTTTTATGACGTCACTTCCGGTTTTAAAATATCAAAGTTGTATGCGATTTAGGCGACGTCACTTTGTTCAAATTTCTGAAAAATTGCATATTCACTATTGAAACGTAACATTTTTAAAGTGCTTTTAGATGATTATAAATCTTAATTTTCTGACCACACCTTCGTCACTTCCGGTCAAACTGGAAGTGCAGCACGTCGGCGCTCGCTATTGTTTACACAAGACCTATCATGTAGATTAAATGTATCGATTTATATAATTTATTTTTTTACACGTAAATGTATAATTTGATTAAGAAGCAATTATGTAGAAGTACATGCTCCACTGTGGTTTATTTTCAATACACAAAAATTCACAAATGAGTTCGGGATCGGTATTCAATCGGGGTCAAGGTCGAAGTGAAAGTAGACTTAGCAGAAAGTTATCAAAACTGTTCAGGGCAGTGTTAAGCAGTATATAGGTAATGGGCATTTGTATTTTACACAGGAGGTAAGAGGTATACCTTAGTACAATATTTGTAAATAACAATTTAATGTTTTTGGAACATGTCGATGATCGGCACGTCACATATGCATACTTGACATACATCATTTCAGATCAGTTGTGCGGTCAAGCTGGGTACAGTTGTCTGGGAGTTAAACGATGTGTGTGAACATGCACATTAACTGATTTTTCTCATATTTTTTAGCAATTGCATTACATGTATTTGTTGAATGTTCAATTATTGTCAGTAAAACATGATTTTTACCTATTCTGCTGAATTAACTTAATTACCAATGTAAACAGTGTGATTTCAGGTGGGATAAGCAAAATAATCATTTTTTAAATTAATTAAGTTCAAGTAATGGGCATAAAAGGAATATGGTAAAATTGTACGTGTTGAATGTCTGTGTGTCTGTCTGTCTGCAAATGTGATATTGTACCATTTATTGTATTGATTTTTTTTAAGGTTCATGGTGATTGGTACAGGAAAAACATGAGGTCCATGCAGATGGTGTTTAAAACTATTGGCCAGCAAATGCACACCCATTTGAATACATCTTGAAAAAGAACCAGCAAAATGTGACAGTCGGCAAAATATGTAAGTTTAAGTTTTCTAAAAAAAAAAAAATTCATTAAAGTGGGGGGATGGGGTGGGGGTGAGGAAATTTACATGTTAAATAGGTGATCAGAATGTGAAAGTATTTAGCTATAACTAATCTGTACATGCACTGCTATATATATTTTGCAGCTCATATAGATTTTCTTTTCTTATTTAAGATTTTCAAATGATTAGATCTACATCTTTGTTTTGTAAATTATGCATTATTAAGATTACACGGATATAAGAATTGAAATTTCATGAATATTCGACAGTCAAAATTATGCGATTTGTCAGGAAATTCAAAATTTTGTCTCATTTTCCTACAAATTACAAAATGGTTACCATGGAAACAAAACAACTTTAGTGAACTATTTATTTAATCTGCAACACCACATATTTTTATTTTTTAAATTAAATAATAGTATATAAGCACTGATTTTGTCTTAAATGAAAAGTACGGGAAAAGTAATGATACACATGTATTGAGCTATCCATTATTATGATGTCATTGTGACGTCATAGATGAGTAAATTTGCATTGGTATAAAAATTGCTTTGAAACAAATGATTCTATATAGGATTATAAAGGCTTATAACTTTTTCATTCATAGTCCAAATTTCATGAATGATACATCAATGGACAGGAAATAATCAGTACTTTTTTATTTTACTACTTTCGGGGTATTTGTGAACTTCATTTTTTTGTCATTTCTGGAGAAACTATGAATTAGAGGGTGAAAAGTGGTCATATTTTGTGCGGAAATACATTAATTTTATAAAATAAGTGAAATTGACCCAATTAAGTGCTTGATTATGATTTGACTATATGTATTTAAAGATATGAAGGTGATTAAGAATGGTATAAATGTGTTAATAGGCTAAAATTTGACTCAAAACTTGGGTGCAGTTTTGGCTAGATTGGAGCATTTTTTAAGGATATTACACTTAGAACTGTAAATGCTGTAAAATCTTAATTAATTGTTGAATTTTCATGAAACTTGGCATGATGTCTCTACTTATGCTCTAGATTGACAAACAGTGTGAAATATTGTAAAATCAAAAAAATGCTTTTTCATATTGGGTACATCCCACTAATTATTTTTAGAATCGGTAGGAGAAGAAAGTAGTGCAGAAAAAATTACAAGTTCCTTAAATTGCAGACTTGCATAAAAAAAATTGGGCAGGTGTACTGAACTGAGCCTCACACTTGTTGATAAGGAGTATCTTTCCTGCCAAAAAAGCTTTGAAAATGTAATTTATCAAGAAGATCAGCCGAATTATTTTGTGTATTATAACGCCAGTGAGAATTCTGAAATTCCCCTACTTTCACTTTCATTTTTAGAGGTTCCCGCAGACAGACGCATTTTGCCGGAAAACGAATCTGACATGCCACCTCGAGATTTTAACCAAGGAAAGACAAGTTGATGTGCTTTGATTTGAGGGGTCACTCACTACCGAACGAAAATTAGGGACATCGCTATGAGAAGAAACGTTAACATTGTCGCCTATGGGAAAACAATTAGTGGACTGTACCCATATTAGGAAGCCTATAAGTAAGTGAAAGATGTCATAAATCTTGAATTTATTTCAAAGTTGTTGTTTTCTATTATTTTCAATTGTTCAAATTTATGAAAAAAACAATTCTTATATTGTTGATACACATTTTTAAACAAATTGATTCATAAATAAAGTGTCTAGACCCCCCCCCCCCCCCCCCCCCCCCCGGAACAGTCAACATGTATCACCCATTGTTTACACATGTATCATGTAGATTAAATGTATCGATTTATATAATTTATTTATTCAGAATCGTAAATGTATAATTTGATTAAGAAGCAATTATGTAGAAGTACATGCTCCACTGTGGTTTATTTTCAATACACAAAAATTCACAAATGAGTTCGGGATCGGTATTCAATCGGGGTCAAGGTCGAAGTGAAAGTAGACTTAGCAGAAAGTTATCAAAACTGTTCAGGGCAGTGTTAAGCAGTATATAGGTGATGGGCATTTGTATTTTACACAGGAGGTAAGAGGTATACCTTAGTACAATATTTGTAAATAACAATTTAATGTTTTTGGAACATGTCGATGATCGGCACGTCACATATGCATACTTGACATACATCATTTCAGATCAGTTGCGCGGTCAAGCTGGGTATACAGTTGTCTGGGAGTTAAACGATGTGTGTGAACATGCACATTAACTGATTTTTCTCATATTTTTAGCAATTGCATTACATGTTTTGTTGAATGTTCAATTATTGTCAGTAAAACATGATTTTTACCAATTCTGCTGAATTAACTTAATTACTAATGTAAACAGTGTGATTTCAGGTGGGAGCAAATTAATCATTTTTTAAATTAATTAATTTCAAGTAATGGGCATAAAAGGAATATGGTAAAATTGTACGTGTTGAATGTCTGTGTGTCTGTGTGTCTGCAAATGTGATATTGTACCATTTATTGTGTTGATTTTTTTTTTAGGTTCATGGTCATTGGTACAGGAAAAACATGAGGTCCATGCAGATGGTGTTTAAAACTATTGGCCAGCAAATGCACACCCATTTGAATACATCTTGAAAAAGAACCAGCAAAATGTGACAGTCGGCAAAATATGTAAGTTCAAGTTTTCTAAAAAAAAAAAATTTCATTGACGTGGGGGGATGGGGTGGGGGTGAGGAAATTTACATATTAAATAGGTGATCAGAATGTGAAAGTATTTAGCTATAACTAATCTGTATATGCACTGCTATATATACATTTTGCAGCTCATATAGATTTTCTTTTCTTATTTAAGATTTTCAAATGATTAGATCTACATCTTTGTTTTGTAAATTATGCATTATTAAGATTACACGGATATAAGAATTGAAATTTCATGAATATTTGACAGTCAAAATTATGCGATTTGTCAGGAAATTCAAAATTTTGTCTCATTTTCCTACAAATTACAAAATGGTTACCATGGAAACAAAACAACTTTAGTGAACTATTTATTTAATCTGCAACACCACATATTTTTATTTTTTAAAGTAAATAATAGTATATAAGCACTGATTTTGTCTTAAATGAAAAGTACGGGAAAAGTAATAATACACATGTATTGAGCTATCCATTATTATGATGTCATTGTGACGTCATAGATGAGTAAATTTGCATTGGTATAAAAATTGCTTTGAAACAAATGATTTTATATAGGATTATAAAGGCTTATAACTTTTTCATTCATAGTCCAAATTTCATGAATGATACATCAATGGACAGGAAATAATCAGTACTTTTTTATTTTACTACTTTCGGGGTATTTGTGAACTTCATTTTTTTGTCATTTCTGGAGAAACTATGAATTAGAGGGTGAAAAGTGGTCATATTTTGTGCGGAAATACATTAATTTTTTAAAATAAGTGAAATTGACCCAATTAAGTGCTTGATTATGATTTGACTATATGTATTTAAAGATATGAAGGTGATTAAGAATGGTATAAATGTGTTAATAGGCTAAAATTTGACTCAAAACTTGGGTGCAGTTTTGGCTAGATTGGAGCATTTTTTAAGGATATTACACATAGAACTGTAAATGCTGTAAAATCTTAATTAATTGTTGAATTTTCATGAAACTTGGCATGATGTCTCTACTTATGCTCTAGATTGACAAACAGTGTGAAATATTGTAAAATCTAAAAAATGCTTTTTCATATTGGGTACATCCCACTAATTATTTTTAGAATCGGTAGGAGAAGAAAGTAGTGCAGAAAAAATTACAAGTTCCTTAAATTGCAGACTTGCATAAAAAAAATTGGGCAGGTGTACTGAACTGAGCCTCACACTTGTTGATAAGGAGTATCTTTCCTACCAAAAAAGCTAAAGAAGATGGACTGTTTTTCCCTGTACATTAAAGAGATCAAAACAATTTCCATTCTCCTGTAGGATAAAATATTCTATAAATCATTTTGATAGAGAACTTTTAATCCTATTAGTGTCAATTATAGAACTTCTTGTCCCATTTCATACATTATGGGATAAAAAATCCCATGTAGGGTTAAAAATGGGAGTTTTGATTCTATAGGAGAAAAAATCCCACAGAACTCATTTTTCTCCCACAGAATAATGGTGGGATATTGGTTAGGAGAGAAAATCCCACCATAATCCCATGGGATTCCTTGATTGCAGGTGTAATATCTTTTAAACTAGAAGATATTCAGGTGTGAAGGTTAGTCCATGTTGTTCGATCAAAAAAATCCCACCAGATGACATAAATGGTTTCCATGTATCTTTGGAAGAGTGGTTGGCTAAAGTCCGGACAAATGTCGTGTCCGGAGTTAAATGTCGCACTGTTTATGACGGATTCTTACATTATGCTACTATCAAACTTGAATGCAAGGACTTGCATGCACGTGTGCGCGCGCAATGCGTTAAATGACCGATTTACTTGATATAGTCGTAATTTTTTTTATGAAACGTTTCAAAATTAAAAGAATAGAAACACATTAAAAGTGTAGTCACGATGATATAGCTTTCATGCATTGCACCTTCGCGCGCGTGCAATGATCAAATGACTTGTATACTTGATATGGCCGTTACTTTTATATTTCTTTATGAAATGCTTTGATGACCTTGACCTTTGACCTTGACCTTTGACCCCTTGACCCAAAGGTCACAATCCAGCTCAAGTTCGTAGATGTATTTACAAACTCACTTTAACAAATGCTTAGAATAAAAAAGTCAACCCCCCCCCCTTCTCCTTAAAAAAAAATCAATAACAACGTAGAAAATTTCTCTGAAACTCGATCAACACCTGGGATCGACATAAAATTTCACTTAAGGTGCAGAAAAGACTTCATAGAAAGTTTCCTGAAAGTTTTACGGTAAGTCTCTAAGTATATAGAAATTATGAATTTTTACGGCAAAAATTACAAATTCTGTCGTGTTTGAAATTTAAGTGCAGACGAACAAAGATATGATATAAACCTTTTAAAGCCTATTTCTCCAGATGTCGTTAATAGCATTCAATTCTACTGATATGAATTAATATTTTAATACCAAGCATTCTTCTTTTATTTCACCATTGAAATTTATCTGAATTTTTTTTAGAATTACACAATCCCAAGAAATAGCGAGTTTCGGTATATTAAAAAGCAATACACGTTTCTTTCCAGTAAAACCTCACGTGTTTGAATTCATGAAAAAATATTGATAAGGGGGTGTTAAACAATACCTGTCACATTAGCTGACACCAAAAAACCAGGGTACGTACACGACATTTTCTGATTTATTTGCATATGCAAACAGGGCTACCCTCAAATCCACGTGTTTTCCATGTCTTTATAAACATCACAAAAACACCCCAGGAAGTAGCCTCCTATGCCCTGGAGAAATAGTTCCTGTCAAAAAACTTTATTTATTTATAGAGTAGATAAAATTTCCTAGGCACAGGTACCAGAGTTGTCAAACTGGCCTGGAAGGAAATTAAAAAAAACTCTCAAAAGAAAGGAAAATCGGCTTAATGTATGGACCTACAATTGATAAATTCATTTTGATT